CATATTTGGGTGAATTTTTTTATATCAGTATTAAAATACTAATTTTATTACTTTTCTCATACATGGTAATAGGAACATAATTTTGAACATATGAAAGAACATAAACTGAGAAATTAGCAATCCAGGTAAGACTTCTGAAAGTGAATTACTCTTGCATAAAGATTCCTGAAAGTGAATTACCCTACATAAAAAAGTAGAATAAAAAGATTTTGATCACAAATGAGTGGTGAAAAATTCAATGTAAAATGTGCATATTTTTCTTAATTTCTTTCTTAATAGTCTATAATCTGGAATTATTTAAGCAATTAGTTGTGGGAAATTTATAATCTGAAGTGATATTATCTGAATTAATTTTATACTAATTTAATTTTGGCCCCTGAAATTATATATATCTTTGTATAAATAAGAAAATGATCTTTAATCAGTATGTTGTGTTTCCTCTATAATTACTTTATAGAAAATTTGACTTGTTATAAAAACCAATGTTCTTTTTTACTACAAATGTTGAGCCCTATTGCACAAATTAGTGGATTTGACTGACATTTCCATGCACACATATGTCATACTTAAATCCTATTCACCGTCCCTATTCTCGTTTCTTTCCCTCCCTCACTTTCCCACCTTCCAGTTCCCTTCCCTAATAACTCCTTTTCCATTTTCAGGTCATTCTTTTTTTTTTCCTTCCAGATTTCATATATGAGGGTGAATTGGAAATTTTAAATATGACATGAAGAACTTCTTTTCCGATCATATTCACTTGGGGTTCTAAATGTACTTGTACATGGATGTCCATACCCTTCCCAATATTTGAGAAAATTTTTGTTACAATTTCACAAAATAAATTTTCATTGCCTGTAGCCTATACGTCTACTCCATTGTCTGTGCTTATGATTCATAAGTTTGGATTTTTCCTCATTTTCCATTGGTCTTATATGTTCTGTTCATTCTTGCTTTATTTTTGATGTTGTTACTACCTGAATGTGATATTCAATCATAATCTTCTAGCTCTGATATATTTTCTACTGATCTACTTTATGTATATATATGACTTCAACTGAATTTTTTGAGATATTGAGCTCCAAGATTTGTGTTTGATTCTTTTTCAGAATCTCTATTGAATTTCTTTTTCATATCCTGCATCATTTTTCTTAATTGGCCTTTTATTTGTATGCTCTCTGTATTTATCAATCATATTTAACATTTTAAAAATTATTTTTCTGGCATTTTATCAATTGCACTATATTTGGAATCAGTAAATGGATAGTTATGAACATGTGGAGGAAAAACATGCTACTTTTTAAAATCTTTCTTGTATTTATTTCTTTGTTAAGATTTACGCATCCATGGGCATGTTATCTCTTCCGCATTTATGTGAGTGGCTCTTAGGAAATAGCCTTCTCTCAATGCATTCTAAGCTTTGGGTTTGTTGAGTACTGTTGGGACTTTTATTTCCAAATAGAGCTTGTACTGTAGTAGCCCTGTGTCTTCTGTGATGTGAGTTTTGACACAGTTTGTACTGTAATAGCCTGAGAGGAAAACTTTCTTTGTTCATCCTGCAGGAGTAGAGTCATTTTGGTGGCAAGAGTCTTGTGGAAAATGGTGTATCTGGGATGAATTCTCTATACTCACTCTTTCAACCTTGTCACTGAATACCAATATAGGCACAGTATTCTTGAGTTGTGTCATTTCTTTCTGCTCTTGCTGTGGAGGTTACTGTTCAGAGAATGGATTTTAGTCCTCTCTTCATACTTTCATGGGGGCATGTCATCTGGGCTTTTATTTCCCCGGTTCTTTAAGTTGAAATATCTGACAAGGTTTGAATGTGACTATGTTTTGGGTGGGGTAAGGTGCAGTTTTTTTCACCTGTGCTGTGAGCTTCAGGATGTGGCAAAGCACCCACCAGATGTGATTAAGGAATAGGGATGGATCTTCAACACAAGGAAGAAAACAAGCAATAACACTCTTATACAAACCAGATATATATATATATATCTCCAATAATGCCAAGAACAAACACCAATAACAATAAGAAGAAATTTCATTTGTAATTTTCTATTCTTTTTAATTATACACGAGAGTAGAACATATTTTAACATCCATACATGGAGGATAACTGACCATTCTTGTGGTGAGAACAAATATATATTAAAGTATAACAGATAATAAGTGCCCACACAGTCTGGCACCCACAGAGTCCCTGGGAGCCTGGCACCCTCTGGGTTGGGCACCTGTCTAGTCTCCTTGGCTCCCTGGCCCCCAGCCCAATCCTGTGCCTACTAGGCCCGAAGCTTCGCTGCTGGCCCATAGCCCAGCCTGCCAAACTCACCACTTCATAGCCAGGCCCACCTACTCCAGCCAGTGGCTTCACTATCTGGCTTGTCCCCTTGCCCAACTAGCCTGCCATTTTAGTGCCTGGACTGTATGGCCCATTGCAGATCACCATCTACCAGGCTCTAGAAGTACCTTGATTCAGCACTGTCAGCTGAATCAGACCTGCAGTAAAGCAACTGGAACCTCACTAAATCTAAGTCCCTGCAACTGGGAACTCTACCCATAGGAACTCCTCGCACAGAACCCAGTGGGAAACATATCCTGAGAATGGAATGGACATCTCTTTCCATCTCACCCCACACCAATCTTCCAAGAAGGGAAGTTGGAAAGTTTTAAACATCAACCTTCAACTTGATGAGAAGTACAATAAAAAGGAAGGACTCAACAGCCCATACTCTCATGCTCAATTCTTACTTCAAGAAGAAACAAAAAGAAAATTATTTGAATACAGGCAGAAAACACACATGATCACTGACGACTTTGTCCACCATAGAATAGTAGAAACGACTCCTTAATTTCTTAACTTTTCACTTTTTTTTTCCTGATGG